ACGTCACAATCCTTTCTGCACGTCTTCCTCGACAAACCTCCGTCCAATCCCCTATAATCACTTTACGTATTTGTGGCTTATAGGATACTTTTCTTCTTTGTAGTCTCGTCTTAATGAATTCTTACAGAAGAGTCTTCGTAAAAGAACATAACAGAATAATAGGAGAAGTAAATTCATCGGCTTTTTCTTCTTATATTTATGTTTCCCATGCTTCTTCCTACATGTGTCCCATTTTTTACGCCTTGTTTGCAAATTTAAATTAATTAAGGATTGCTTAAGATGTCTCACGAACTTTGTATCAAGGCATTATTGCTAATTTAAAAACAACAAACAATTATTAAGACGGTTAAAAACTCTTTACTTAATGTTTTGATCTCTTAATTAAAGAAAATTAATATATAATTCACTATTTTTCGTGCTCCGCTTGACCAGTTAATAACATTCAATTAATTAAGGTGTTAAGGTGAGATAAAAAGTCAGTGTCACGAGCGGGATTCGAACCCACGACCTTCGGCTTGATACGCCGCTACTCTTCCACTTGAGCTATCGTCCTTTTTGCCATTTTTCAAATGTCGTGTAATCGGATTGGATTCTCGGCGACAAATGAAATGGCCACTGAGAGCTCCGATTACACGACATTTGAAAAATGGCAAAAAGGACGATAGCTCAAGTGGTAGAGTAGCGGCGTATCAAGCCGAAGGTCGTGGGTTCGAATTTCGCTCGTGACACTGACTTTTTTATCTCAACCACCTTAATTAATTTAATTAATATATAATAATTCTTAGTAATTAACTAAGGGTAAAAGCTCAACAAAAAGTAGAGTAATGTATTTTGGATTGTTAACTAATTTTATCGTTTCAAAGAAAATTTCGTTTTGACAACCCATTTCGAAAAGTGGCGAAAAATGAATGATTTAAAATTTCTATAGAATATTTAGAAAGTAAAGTATATTAAGTATATATAGAAAGTATATAAAAATACCATATATAAAAATAAGGTTCTTTTTTATATAATATTAATCACATTTCTTCAGAACCTGAGTACAAACAATCGAAATATGAAAAAACTACATAATTTGAAAAACGTGTAATTATGTATCAAGGAATACATGTTTTATTTTGTTTTTGTAGGTAATACATAGCGGAAGAAGGCTGATGGGTCTGTAAGAGGATATGTGGTTGTTGTTGGTATTTCTGAACTTGAGGAAGGAGAAAACGACATAATATTTTCATAAGAGGGGAAAATAATATTTTTTTTAAATTATAACATAAAAGATACCTGACAAAAAAAAACACAAACCATTGATGATAGTGATCTTCAAGAGGAAATCTCACAATTTCTTTATTGATATATAAAACGATGGATTAGTCGGGGTACGTACTATACTGCGCCTTTTAAGGGCTATTGTGTCTCCTGTTCTGTGTTCACAGCATACCGGTGCATGAAGCATACTTGATTAGAAGGTATAGAACGATCATCGTGTCCATTTTAAAGAAAGAATTTTCAATAATTGTAAACTAGTTTTATATTTTTACTGTGCGCACTTTTTCCGTCTTGCAGGCGTGTACTTTACGGATCCTTCGCGGTTTCCGTGTCCATCCCAGTAATAATGCACCCTGACGACCTTAGCCGAATATTAACGTATTCCGCGGACGGCCGAGGTATATTTAATGTATCGAGGGTCAGTGGGCTGTGGTCTCCCTCTCTTGAATTAATTACCTCCTGGAGGGGCCATCTTGAGAGCAAGTCCATTAGTGCACCTCTCTCAGGGGAAACATACAAACTTACACTACGTAACCTGGTTAGTGGGCAGTCTTGACCCGCCGCCCGGGAGATCGAGTTAGTAACATTCCGGCTCAATCAACAAAGGCAGCTCCTTCGTAATGAACCTCGCAATCCAATTTGATATCGACTCCTTTAATCGACAGCAAAGGAGATTGCCACCAACGTCATTCCACCGACAACCTTCGCCCTGCTTTCAGTTTCCTCTGCTCTTCTATTCCCATCATTTTCGAAGAGGGCCTTCTAATGAAGTTATTTACAAACAGAAATTTCAAGGAAATAACGATCGAAAATTCAATTTCAATTTATCTAATCAAATTCAACATAAAAAATAGACACATTTAACTGATATGTGCTAAATATTAAAAATGTGTATCCTCCATAAGTAAATTTCTAGATAGTAGGGGTATTCGCGATGTTCGTAAGATGCTAACTTGTGTTAACTCGAATCGAGAAATATCCAGTAAGATCGTGAACGCCCTCTTCTTTTCTTAGCAATGCTGCGCGGGGCGATTGGTAGAAACAAAAATAAAACTATAACAGACCTTGAAGGCTTCTTATTGTTTGTTTTGGTATTCTTTTGTGTTTTTTTTTCAAAGTATGTCCAGCGGTCCTGAATTCGAACCCGGCACCTTTACCTTACAGTGATGAGCGCCGTGTCAACGCCTAAACCGTTGCGGCCACCGGCGCCCCTCTTTTGTGTTAAATTGTAAGATGGCAGAAATTAATTTAAAAAAAAAAGGCACTCGAAAAGTACTAGCAAAAGACACTCTTTACATGTACTGACAAACCTAACTTGTATCCTAACGTCCTAATTACTGCAACTTTATAGGATAGGGAATGTATTTATTATGAATGAGAGTATGGTGACAGGTCAGAAATTAACGAAAGAAAAAAGAAATGTATTGGTCTGATTTAATTAATGCTTATTTAAGAATAAAAATACGTGTAAACAAAACAACAGCTGTTAAATTCACGGTTGCCATTTTGGTTACCTACGCTCTAACGGATAGCAAAGTGACTACATTTTCGACCTAACATCTAACATTGGTCATGGCCTGTTAGATCGAGCAATGTTAACTCTTATAAGTCTACGTCATTTTTCTCGATCTAATACCCCTAGTATGTCGCTGGGATGCAGACTTTTTTACACGACGTAACAAAGTTTATTACAGCCAATTGTGGATTAACTTCCCTTCTATTATTTATTCGTTCTTACACCAGGAAGTTTCACACTAATACACTATAATTGATTTAATTACCAACGGCGGCAATTAACATCATTTAATTACACACAGTCGCACACAATTCATTATCAAGAGTATGGATTTAATTGCGAGGGCTCCCCCCCAAAAAAAAAATTCTGGAGATTTCAAATTTAGTTTATCAATCTGCAATCATCGTCCTTTACAGCATGATACCTTTAGAATATTCATTCGGCAAACTCTTTTTTCCATTTTCACAAAACATAAAATATGCCGTGTTTTTCTTCGAGTCCACGAGGTTTTTTCCCTGTCCCGGTTAACGAGTGTTAAGAAAGGAAAGGTATACGAGCTGTTTAATTAAAGTGGGACCTTCCCTTTTATTATTTTTAATGGGCCCTTCGAGTAAACGGTCTGTACATGTTTACACTCATTTTATTTGACTAAACATTTTACGAGCTCCTTTTGAAATATTTTTTTCTCGTTCTCTTGATTTACTACTCCCAAAAAAATCCCACCATTATGAATGCACGTATTACTATTTTTTATACATTTCCAGTAATTACTTATGTATTAATGGATAAAATTAACCATCTGCATAATAACATATTTTGTTTAAAGATTTTTATTTGTTTTATATCTGATATTATTGTATATATGTTTATTTTTTTAAATGTATTGCGATTTTTGCACGGAAAGAGTATCTTTCACAATATTCGCATAATACTTCAACCAGAAATTGGAGAAATAATAAAAACTGATTGTGTGGTGATTAGTGACCGTTAATCGATAATTATTCAGAAATCGTGAGATGCGGTCTGGTGTGATGTAGATTTCAGAAAAACATTTTCTTTATCGTGCCAACGTTTCGAACTTTATTGAGATCATCTGCATGGCCTGGGATTTGCAAACATTGTTTACATTTAACAAATACATTTAGGATGTGGAAAAGTGAATTTATACAATGCAAAATATTTTTTTTATATTCAATCAAAATATTTCTACTCCTCAAATTGTTTATCTTCTGTGTAATTGTGCCATTCTTGCGTGTCGTGTTGCAACGTCTCTCAATAAAGATCGAAACGTTGGAACGATAATGAAAATGTTTTTCTGAAACCTACATCATACCAGACCGCATCTCACGATTTCTGAATAATTAATAAAAACTGAATTGGAGGTATAAGAAAATATGAGAAAAATCCTTCACACACACTTCACATTAGCACTTTTAGAATTTCACAATTACGTAAAGTAAGTAAATATTTTCATGCGATTACATTTATACAAAGGTCTGGTGGTACTAATGTGTAACATCTATTTTTAGTAAATTTAACATTAAAATTCTTCCTAAAAAGATAAGACATATTTATCGAATTATGTTATATAAATTAATCAAAAATAATACAAAACCAAATAAATTATTCCTTTAATATAAAGGATCTCACTCTTCATTAATCAAAAATTTGCTTGATTAACAGAGATAATACATAAGTGAGGACATAACATTTCAACTTCAGTTGATCTTACCTAGAAATATTTACAAATTAATTTTTATCTAAGATTTGCACAGAGTGGGTAGTGCAGGAAGATATGAATTTTCCGGTACTTACAAGCCGCATATCGTGTAGAGTTGATCGCCATGTATTACATAATTTATTCCTTAGCAAAACATTTTTATGTAATTTTTATTTGACAATCTGAGTTGCATGAGGCTGTGAATTAGGATTTTTGGCATTGATAAATACGGCTGGGGACAAGAAAGGAACATTTTTTCTGAAAAGATCATTGAACCGTGAATTAGAAAACTTTTCGAAGTATTCTGAAAGCAGCTTGTTCTCCCATCATATGGGTATGGCATCTTCAAAGACGTACCTATTATTGAGGGTTGTTAAATCCATCCCAAGAGAAAGCAGCAATATATCCAATTTCGTGGATTGTTACATCTTAGCACTTTCTTAATATTATTCATCTAAAGAACCAATGGTGCTTCAGAAGTTTTAAGAATAAACCACCATTGTACTCACTTCCGGCGGTTCATATACTTAAATTGGAACGATACAGAGAAGATTAGCATGGCCCCTGCGCAAGGATGACAAGCAAAATCGTAAAGCTTTCCACATTTTTGGTTCTCGGACACAGCGGCGAGTTTCAGGGTCCCCTATTTCGCTTCTTAAGGGAATTGGGAATTTTTTATTGTATATAGAAGTCAAGTTATGTGTTTTGTGTTTCTGTGTCTTGTATGAGAGAATGTATTTATTGCTGTGAATGGAGAGGGGCTGATGGTGAAATAGGTCCTCCGCCCCTCAGGTTGTGTGCATGACTTGGGTTGATGGCGGAAATTTTATACAAATACCCATCGACCCCAATTTAGATTAGTTTATTTTAATGAACTGGTAAATGGAGGAATATCCATGTACCAAACTGTGATCCATTCCAAACTGTGACCAATCCAAATTAGTGTGATCAATTTATGTTTGGGGACCGCGGTAGCCGAGTGGTTAGCATGAGAGCCTCTCACGCCGCGGTCGTGGGTTCGATTCCCACCGTCGCCTCTGGCCCTTTTTTCCCGATAACCCCCAATTTGAACACACAAGAATTCGTACTATGGCTAATATGCAAGATCATAAGGCCAATAAAAAAAAAAAATTTATGTTTGTGTGAATGTATTTATTGGCGTGAATAGAGATGGGCTGATGGTGAAGTAGCATCTCGATCGCCCCTCATGTTGCGTGAGTAACTTGGATCTACGGCGGAAAACTTTTAACGTACCCCATCAACCCCAAATTGGAATAGTTTATTATAGGGAACTGGTAGATGGAAGAATTACTCGACTACTCCATCTACCAAACAGTATGAGTGCGATCAATGTAAATAGGTAGAATGTATTTATTGGTGTGATCGTGTGAGTGTGTGTGGTATCTCGAGCGTGTTGCGATATTTTGCTAGTGCTTCGGGGCTGAAATGACCAAGCAGACGAATGCCGCTGTCAAAAAAAATAAAATAAAATAAACCACCATTTCAAGTGCCTTACCACAACCATCAATTTTGCTGATTTCCACCTCGTTTCTATCTTGATGTACGGCTATTAGATGGCTGATAAAGAGGTTTTTTATCAATATACCTGCAACATTTCTGAGTCATCAAGGTGGACAATTATTGTTCCGTTGCATGTAAGGCTGTTATTGGCTAAAATATCTAAAACTTTGTTTCCTTAGATCTGCGTTTAACTTTAACCAACATTTCCATTAACCGCCCAAAAGCTTGGTTTTCCTTGCTTAAGAAAATGAATGAAGTCAAATTGAGTTGATAAATGTCTATTAATCGAAAAAGGGACTTCTAGGTAGGTACATTAGTTCACATAACTAACTAGCTGAGTGCTTACAGTGAGTGTATTCTCTCAGAAGGATTGTTATTATGCTAACCTTGCAAATTAGGCCTGTTTTGTATGAAATCTTCAATAGATGTTTGGGTCTAATATAATTAAAAAATGTGAAAAATTTTGAACACTTTATGTTATTAGCTAAGTTGGCTCAACCTTTGTTGTTTTAAAATGCAGATGGTATAAACATGCTGTAGTTACGAACGCCTCAAGTTGCTTGCATATGTATCTCTTTCGCTATGACTAAGAAAACAATTTAAACATATTTCGTTTTATTTATTTATTTGTGTCTTTTTCGAAAGATTCAGTTGAATGAATTAAAAAATATATGTATAATAGGTATTCATCATAATTCGAAATCTCATTTCCTTTCGGAGCCAAAAGTTATCGGCCCATCACGAAATCGGAAATTCCTTGAGGAAAATAAAAGTTGAATTAAAAGTCGTGTACGGTCGGAATGGAAGTTGCCTTCTCTCGGTCTTCTGATTATAATAATGTTGATAATAAGGTAGTCGGTAGAATAATAACAGTGTTTTGACCGTGGGGTGCTATGATGGATGCTGTAAGATCAACTTGAATTATCATATAAATGTATTGGCTGGTACCTGTGTAATTTCTTAGCTCGGGCCAAGTACCTCTATCTTGATCCGGCCGACTAATGCACCCCAATCATTCTTAGATGACCGACAATTCACACTTGTTCAACTGATGATTTTTACCCTTTTAAACGGCCTTACACCTCAGATTTATCTCCTATGTGAGATATGGGAACACCCACAAATCATCATTACTAGTGTAATCCTATAAACACATATCCCTCGGTACGATTCGAATCCAATTTCGTATTATAAAAGCTCGTACATAGAGGGTAACTACGAACTCGGTTTTATTTTATTGACACTATAAAGTCAACACATTTATTCTTTTTGCACAAACCAACAATCTGTTAACGTATTTTTAATTAATAGTTCGAACATAACGTATTTATATATATATATATATATAGTGGGAGGTTTATGGGCCGACAAACAGCTGAGGTCATCGCCGGCCCTCCGCGTGTATTCTTTCTCCTTCCTGTCTTTCTTGCGTCTTTTGCATTGAACTGCAGCCATTTGAGCATCTCGATCTGGTTACGGACTCTCTGCTTTTACTTGTATATTACGTCGTTATTTTAAAATGCTAGCCTCTTGTTAGTACCTCAGGTTGTCAATTTAAGAATAGATACACAACAAACAATGCATAACATATATATCGCCACAAACATAGAAGTCTGGTCATATTCACTCCCCCAGAGTACTCGATATTCCTCGAGGCGGGGTAAATAACCCCTTCCTTTCACGCAAATAAATTACATTCATCCTAATGTATAAACATAAACACCACACAAATACCACACAAAAACTTCAGACACAACACAAGCACAGCACAAACACACATAAACTATATACATTTGAAAATCCCTATAGCCCTGAGGTACCGGTACAGCGATTTGTGCCCGCTGCCGTGCCCCAAGACTACGCATAGGTCCGATGATATTCCAAAATACTGCCTGTAAACGTCGAGCCTTCTACAATTGAGAAGGTGCTCGGCTGTTACTCTATCCTTGCCTAATGGGCATCTATGCGGTCGCTTTCCTGCTAGAAGGTGCCCGTGCGTAATTCTTGTATGACCTATGCGTAGTCTTGTCAGTATGACCTTTTTCCTTTCTGACCCATTTTCCGTGAACCAGGGACCGACGTCTTTCTTAACTTGCCACAGTTTGGCAGGGTTATTCTACATTAATATATTACATAAATTATATATTATATTAATATATTAAATAAATTAAATAATAATAAATATAAATAATCATGTTTTCATTTATTTTATTTAACGCTTATTAAATTGAACAAATAAAAAATTATAGTATTTAAACAATTTACAGAGGTTTTATCGTGGTTCTGCTATTCTTGCTAAATGATTTGGCCAGAACTTCGATTTTATTTATTTTTAAATATATTTATTACTATCTGTAACCTTTACGTACGTTTTAATTAATAGTTCGAACATAACACTATTTATTGACCAGTATGACAGAAAATTATCAGTACTTTTTCATTGTAAGTTTCTCTATTTAAAAATCCGTTTGGTTCACTTATGTTGATAAATGTTTTTTTTTTAATTGTTCCTTAAATAATAATAATAGCTTAATAGACAGAACATTGATTTTATTTATTTTTTAATGTATTTATTACAACGTATAACCTTATTTACATGATGTGTTGAGCTGGATGTACGAATTATATAGAACATATATCATGAGGGGAGTTAACAACCATCCCTAGCTATAAGCAAGGCCTGATCCAATCGGTCGCGATGCAATCTCTTCTTCAGTCGTTTGGTGGGATTGTAAGATAACTCGATTGACGTGAGGGTAGAGTTTATTGTTGAAAATGGAAAACGTTTTGAGGATTATTTTTTGCACGAAAAGTATTTTGAGGTCATCACCCTTCACGATGTTGAAGAAGGAGTATTGAGGAGTATTGACTATGGATCTGACTATGGAAGGATTCTTTGGATGTTGGAAGGTTTAGCGTGCCCCACGGTTCCCTAGGTCCAGGTTGGTTTTAATATTGTCTTGTAGATTGTAATTCTTTTAAACAATAGATTTGCTTGCCAGTAGTCTGTAGACTACTACAGTGTAGAGTAATCCAAAACATTGTTTAATTCCTCGGGTTTGTTGGCTCCAGGTTAGACTTGAGTCTAGATGGAACCCAAGGTGGACACAGGCTGTTTTTTAGATGGGAGTATTATTGAGGCATATTGTACGAGGGGTTTGCTCCGAAGGGTGATGGGTGGTTTTGCCTTCAATAATTTTATAAGCCAGTGTTTGCTCCATTCGTCTATAGGCAGGACATGTCCCTTGAGCTCTTCCGAAGCAACTGTGACATCGGGATCAGAGAGTAGCACAACTGTGACGTCGGCAAAGGATGATGGAGGGTGAAGTTGTGATATTATCAAGTAAATGGCAATCTTATTAAACTTCATTTGGTGATTTCGTCTAAACAGATTGAAATATATAAGATTTTCTAGTAGCAGAAGTTGTTTCAGAAGAATAAGCACTCAGGGGATGCTGGTGGATTAAAATATGAGTTCGTACAGTGTCAAGTATAGGCAAAGTCCGTTCATTATTAGTGGTTATTTTACAACCGTGATTTATAAGGAAAATATGCTGCATTAGTCTGCAAATTAGTGCGAAAAATTCACTTCATACCGTGTAATAGTATGACAAGAGGCCAGTTAATTGCCGGTGGTAAGTAAGCTGTCTTAAACCTTTTAGATAGAAAGCAATTTTTCTCTTTTTATAATATCCTTTTGCCACGAGAAATACTTCATTAGTAAAAAATGTAAACAGATTCATTTACATTTTATTAACAATTAAAAACAATAAGCGACGGGCAATTTGACTTAATGAGCTTACACTCTAAAACGGACAGCCTGGGATTTCTAAAATTCTACTATATATTTACATATTTTTATATATATTTTTTACGAGTTTATTTTAGTTTGTACAATGTAAAATAACTTATGCAAGTTTTTTATATGAAGTTTATGTCTAATTTACTATTTACTATAATTATTTAAAATGAATATTAATAATAGTATTATTATTATTATTTAATAATTAGTAAATGTAGGATTAATATCGTATTAATAGTAAATATAAATGCAATAATAATATCATTATTAAAATTACTAATACTGA